GATATTTTCCATTAAAAATGCAGAATGGAGATACTAAAGGCTAAGATCTCATTTGTTTTTGGTTACCCTAACTCAAGAGCAAGTCTGCTTATGTAAAAACTGATGCTATTAGTTCAGACCTGTGTATATCCAAGCAGAATGATAACACCCTGTGAAGACCATTATTAGTGTCTCTTCCAGTAATATTGAAAGCCTTAAGCTGGGGGCCAAAAAGTCTCACATAATTTAGTCAAAGTCACTGGAAGCCTTGTGTGGCCTGAAATCAAACCCAAAACCAGTATCAAGGAACCATCTATCTTCTCCAACTTACCTCCTAAGTTATTCCAAAGCAGAACACAAGGATTTAAGTTGCATTAATATGTCGCTAAATATCAATTACCTGAACGAGTAATTACCTTTAAGGTTGCAATACGTAAGGGCAACTACTCCATTCAACCCAACATTTTGAGGTTTGCAGTACCATGCAGTATTTACAGTACAGTATTTTGCCAGTCTATAAAGCCACAGCGCTGCTGAGAAAGCCCAGTGGGGAACTGGCCGACAGGCTGCACCCAAAGGGTGGTGGTAAATAGCTCCTTCTCAAACTCTAAGGTTGCAATATTTAAGGGCAACCACTCCATTCAAACCCAACATTTGAGGTTTGCAGTACCATGCAGTATTTACAATACAGTATTTTGCCAGTCTATGAGGCCACAGCGCTGCTGAGAAAGCCCGGTGGGGAACTGGCCGACAGGCTGCACCCAGAGGGTGGTGGTAAATAACTCCTTCTCAAACTGGCAGCCTGTCACGAGTGGGGTCCCTTAGGGATTGATACGGGACCCAACACTGCTTAATATCTTCCTAAGTGATCTAGTTGATGGAATCAAGAGTACCCTGATTAAGTTTGCTGATGACACCAAAGTAGACACTTTGGAAGGGAGAGCCACCCTTCAGGAAGACCTCGATAGACTGGAAGAGTGGGGTAACAAGAACCTTATGAAGTTCAACAAAGACAAGAGTAAGGTCTTGCACCTGGGAAACATAATCCAAGAGTGCAGCAGAGGCTGGGATCTACCCTGCTGGGGAGCAGCTCTGTGGAAACTCCCTGATTAAGTTTGCTGATGACACCAAAGTAGACACTTTGGAAGGGAGAGCCACCCTTCAGGAAGACCTCGATAGACTGGAAGAGTGGGGTAACAAGAACCTTATGAAGTTCAACAAAGACAAGAGTAAGGTCTTGCACCTGGGAAACATAATCCAAGAGTGCAGCAGAGGCTGGGATCTACCCTGCTGGGGAGCAGCTCTGTGGAAACTGACCCAGGGGTTCTAGAGGCAACAGTGTGCTGCTGTGGCAAAGAAAGCCAACAGGATGCTGGGTTGCATCAATGAGGGCATCAACAGCAGAGACAGAGAAGTCATTATTCCACTCTGCTCAGGGCTTGTCAGGCCACACCTGGAATACTGTGTTATTTTGATCCCCACTATGTGGACAGGCTGGAGAGGGTCCAGAGAAGGACCACAAAGATGATCCAAAGACTAGGAAGCCTGCCATATGAGCAAAGGCTGAGAGAATTGGGTTTGTTCAGCCTTGATAAAAGAAAGCTTAGGAAGAGACCTTATCACCACGTTCCAGTACTTAAAGGGTGGCTACAAAGAATATGGAGACTCCCTTTTTACAAAGAGTCACATCGCAAAGGTGAAGGGTAATGGGTACAAGTTACTTCTAAGGACATTCAGGTCAGACACAAGAGCAAAGACTAGGAAGCCTGCCATATGAGCAAAGGCTGAGAGAATTGGGTTTGTTCAGCCTTGATAAAAGAAAGCTTAGGAAGAGACCTTATCACCACGTTCCAGTACTTAAAGGGTGGCTACAAAGAATATGGAGACTCCCTTTTTACAAAGAGTCACATCGCAAAGGTGAAGGGTAATGGGTACAAGTTACTTCTAAGGACATTCAGGTCAGACACAAGAGGAAAATTTTTCACAATAAGAACAATCAGCCACTGGAATAATCTCCCCAGGGAAGCAGTGGATTCCCCATCATTGGACACTTTTAAGATGCAGCTGGACAGGGTGCTGGGCCTTCTTGTTTAGACTGTTCTTTTGCCAAGAAACGTTGGACCAGATGATCCTTCAGATTCCTTTCAACCTGGTATTCTATAATTATATGATTCTGTGAAATCCTAGAGTCAATTAAGTAGTTCTACATGGTATATATTTTACGAATATGTGTAGGTAGCCTTTCTGTACCTGTCTTCTATTGTGCTCCTGGAAGAATTCCAGCCATTAAATGGACAGCCCTGAATTTCCAAGTGTCCCAGCTCTTGGAGGTAGAGGTCTCTAAGTTTGCTGCAGCTGATTACTTGCTGTCCATGTCAGGTGCTTCCATATGAAGATTACTGAGCCTAGACTGCCCATGCTATGAAAGCCAGGATGAGTAAAATATGTGCTTCCTGAAGACATGCAGGCATGCTATTTTTCCTCAAGTTTAGGACACTGTAATTTACCTTAACTTGTCTACAACTATCTTAAGGGAAAGGAGGAAAGTCTTGGGGAGGGGAGATAAGGGCATTTCTTGCCTTATCCCTCAAATACAATAACCTGAAAGTCATTATAAAAAAGGCATGTAACAGAAATATTAACAGTATTATTTACAGTAATAAAAACATTATTACAATGTGCCTAATTAGGAACCATTATAATACCAATTAAAGATGTCAAAATAGAACAAAAAAGCAACATGTGTTTTTTTCCCTAGAGGACTAGGATATGGTGAGACTCATTATTATCTCATAATTTGAGGACAGAAGACTGCTTTCAGTTCGAGTTAAAATCCAGGCTCTTAAGGAAAAGAGAGCTCTGAGGTATATTCCCCTCTGGAAGGAATTGCTTAAGCAAATGTTATCACAATAGTAGGAGCATTTTTTAATACCCAGGGCAGACACAAAAAAATCTGAATACATCAGTATCTGTTGAGTTTAGCTTTAGCATCCAACACAATTCTGACATTTGCAATGCGTGTGTTGGTATTCATCTCACTGCAGGAAATGGCATTTACCTGGAAAGGCTGGTCAGAGAGCCCTTAAGGAATCTAATTAAAATGCAGCTTGTTACCAGAGCAGTGCATCACACTGTGCTGCCATAGTAACCGGGGGTCCCATGGACTTTCGGAGCCATCTGAGGGCATGTTTGCAAGAGGCACGAGAACTAAATGGATTGCCTATGGTACATTTTGAATGACCTGAAAACTCTGAATGATTTGCTGATGTTAACCTATGAAAGAAAATAATTAACTCCTATAAGCTCAGACAATGGGCCAGTCTCAGGAGTCAATTTATTCTTATTACTGTTTTTTAAGACATAGGGCTCCCCACAGCTTATTTAAGAAGTGAACAACTTATTTACAACATGTGAGCAACAAAACAGTTTAATTTGATTCCCTAATAGGGAAACAATAGATCAGTCAAGACCTGAGAGCTGCGGAAGAGAAGATGAACCACAGAAATAGGTCTTCTACTCAGGCTGCTATTTCCAGTGCTACCTACTGCAGTATCATGCCTCTGACTGCTCTCAGTTGTTGCTTTTGTTGGATGAGTCCCTGCCAGCATGTTGGGAAAAAAATCACACTACAGCACTGGGTTTTTCTTCCTGATTCCTTCTGTTAGAACAGAAAGAACCTTGAACAGCATTAAAAAAAATATAAAAGCAGTATCTTACGTTGTGCCCTGTCCTGATACCAATTTTCTACAGATGCAATCAATAGATTTGCCACAGATGAATTTTAACAGTAAAGATGTCCAAGTAAGAGATTCTTTCGACACACCATCTGTGAAGGAGACAGCACATTGTTAGTTGGTTGTTGCAGGTTATCATGAAAGATTTCTGCAAAAGATTGCAGGCCTTTAGGCTCCATTAAGTGATTTAACTGCTGATGAAAATACTCACAAGTTGTTTGAAATTATCAAGGGGATTTTTAATTGCCTGGAAGAAAGCTTAATAGCAGTTCTTCTGAAATAAATAAATTTCCTTAGAAATATGGGGTTGGGGCTGGGGGATGACATGGGAAATGGAAGCACTGGTTTTCTAAGTGCCATGAAACCAATACGTCCGTATGATTCTGACTCATAGTCCTACACCATCAGCTCCCACTGTACACAGCTGGGATGGGTACATACCTGGAAAGATCTATTCCAGGCTGGCCATGCTACTACCAGGAAGGTTGCAGAAAGCCATAAAGGAGGTCACTTCTACAACAAGTTGAGAGTTCAGCCTCTGGGGGTTTGGGTCTCTTTTTGCACATACCGGTGACATGCATTATGTGGCTGTGCCTAAGTTTCCCAATTTATAAAAACAGACAATATACTTACCTGCTTTTAGATCCATGCCACAGAACAGTGGAAAGACTAGCTGTAAGGGAAGTTCAAAATCCTACTCAGGATTAGAGAACCTTAAACAAAAGAAAACACTGTATTGTTCAGGTTAGAGGCAACATTTGATCCAAAATAACAGATAATAAAAAATGTGAGAAGGAAAAACATCTCAGATTTAAATCTTTTTACTCTATGGAAAAGTATCCAGGCAACATAATAACTAAAATTACCATGTCTAAAAACAGACAGTAGACTGTATTTTTGCTAAATGGAACTCTATACAAGACAAATTGATTGCAACTAATACATCACTCTTCTGTATAGCCCAACTCCTTAACAACCTTGAAACACTAATTCTTCAAAGGACCTCATGATTTCCTGATAATCTGCTGTAACCCATTATTAATGGATTCATTGACTCTCGGGTTCTCCTTACAACAGAAAGTTTATTAGCACAACGAATCTATTTTGTCAACAATTCAGTCCAGCTGACCTACCAGCCCCAATACTCTCATTCTTCAACCTGTTTTTGGTATAGACTGGGTTTCCATTTGCTGGTTTTGTTCCTCCAGTTCCTTTGCAGGAAGCAACACAGCCTGAATGTTTTAACATGGGCTTTTGGAGAGTAAAGAAGATGCTATAAATCATCACTAATTTAGAAGTTCATTTTAATGGGTTATATTTTATTCGCTTCAGTTGAACACCATTATTTACAGACACAAGTTAATAAAACACATCACAAAACAATAAATTTTCAACAGCTAATATTTATAGGTGCATAGTTCATGCTCAATTACTTTTTTATATGTATAATACATACACATATATATAAAGCTCTCACAATAAGTCATCTCTGCACAGAAAGAATAGTCATAGGAAACAAATAAAAATTGTATCATAAACAATATCAAATTACTGACAGCCTATCAACAAAACATGTACAGAGTTAGAAATAAGCAGTAGACACTTAGGTGTTTTTATTTAATATTTTCTTTTTTTAACTTTTAAACTTGAAGCCACAATATCCACAGCACAACAATGATCCTGCCAACCAGCTTTCCTTTCAGCAGGAGGGAAATGCTGAAACAAGGTGGATGCAGTCACAGATACTCCAATCATTGCTGATGGAAGACTTCAAAATACACCGTAAAAACTGTAAAAAAATTTTACGACTGGGCACATTGGAACTCAGCACTTGTACAGGATGGGACGTCTTTAGTAGTTAGTAGATTTCAGGAGATAGAAAGGAAGGAAAGGACTCTCATGCTTCAGGTTCATAGTCTTGATACTCTTCCTAATGAGGAGAGCAGAAATCAGCGCTACTCGTATTTTAGACAGATACATCCTACTTTCACTGTTTGTTCTAGTCCTAATGGATTCAATGTCAAAATATTATGGATTTTCATGCCATCAGGATCTCGCCATTTATTATTATTTCATCACATCTTCCAGATACTGTACCTTACAAGCTGTGGTATTTACAGGAGAATTACACTTTTACAGTGGCTAACATGCTGTCCGTCCAGCTGATGTTGCCAGGAACTCATGAGGCCACCCTTGGCAATTAACTTGGAGAGGGACCACCTCTGGGCTGAAGTGCACACCAGGTGCTGAAGATACTCGTATAAGTCAGTAAATCATTTAATGTCTGTTTAACTACGGGTACATGAGCAGCCTCCATAATTTCAGTGATTTTCAAGGTGTTAGCTAGCAAGCATGCCTTTAAGTCTTTTACTGGATCGTGGCTTAAATGTTTTATTATCTCTCATTTTAAGCCTAATTATCTGTTCTACTGTAAAACTGCCAATCCAACTACCAATGCATCACACCAGACATCATAGTAATATTTTAGATAGTGTGTGCACGAAAAACAACAAAATGATTTGCTCCCATAATGGCATTAACATAAGAGTATAATAACGAATTATTGTGTTTTACAAAGCATGATGCTTTGATAAATGGCCAAGCTATTAAAACAAACTATGAAGGTGCAATTTTTCACATATTCCCTAACAAACATAAGAAAAAGATACAAGTTTACTGCTGATTACTCAAAAAATCAGGCACAAATGTTTTGAAACACACAGAATATTTTCTTAGCAAACTTTCTTACCATCAAGAAAGCAATGGATTTTCTGATTCTCAGCACTATTCCTCTGGGACATCTTGGCCAAAGAGACTGTATTTCTGCTGTGCCCTTGCAGCTCAAAGCACAAGCAACTCAAGCATGCAGCCCCCTCCTGTGCCCTTCTCCTGGGTGCATTCACAGCAAATACCGCAACAGATTTACCTCTGGAGGCATTTCGTAAGCCTCATTCTCAGGATCCACAGGAACATCTGTATTATTCACCATTCCCTCCTGCAGGAAGCCTTCTTCATTCTACATTCAAAACAGGGAAAGAAAAGCGTCAGACTGTAACTGCTTGCCTTGTCATTTACGCCATAGCGTGTCTTTCTTCCCCATCAGTGGTTGGCTTCTTGGCCTCCTTTGGTTGTGGGATGCTGCGAGGGGTTTTGGAGAGCTAGAGGACATCAGCTCCAGAGTGATCTTCATGTTCTACAGGGTATTCATGGGAATGACTGCTATCATCTTTCTGAACAGCTGAAGTGCTGATATCCCATTTCTCTCCTGCCACAGACAGACCAAGAAGTCAATCTGAACAAAAGAACGGCACCATCACCGACTTCCAGATATTTTCTTTGGAAAATATTTCAATCCCACAGAAAATACTTTGGACAACTCATGAAGCAAACCAAGACAAGGTTTTTGCTCCTTAAGAAACTGATCTAGGAAACAGTCCCACACAAATTGCTCAAAGTGGTTATCACAATAATTTCTTTTTAGTTACTTGGGGAATACAGTCACAGGTATGCAAATGTAATTGTAAAAGCAGGCCAAAAGAACTGGGTAGTATCAAGACAAATAAATGAAATAGTAATTCAATTATATATTTTTTAATATTATAGACATCAATCCTCTCATAAATCATTGTTTATTTTACAGTTTAAGCCTTTTCACAGTACATCTCAAAGTGGCCAAAAAAGGGAGAACTATTATAAATCAGGATATTGCATGCTGGTTTTTTCCTTCAGTTTTAGAACCTAATTATACCGGGAAAAGCTTTTTTCCTTTAATCGGTCACACCTCTACATGCTTTCTTACGTCAACCAGCACGTTACTCTATGCAGTATCAGTATATGATACGTGGCACTACCTGATACCCAGTATCTTACACTTTTTTTCTGAGCATCTGTTATTGTCCAACTCTAACCATTCCATGATTCTATGAGTATAGAACCATTTCTATTTTATATAGCAATTTTCATAACAGCACTTGGAATTGATGGGATTGCAAAGATGTAAGGAATAACTTCCTGAATAAGACTACTTTGTTGTCCTATAGGTACTATTTACCATCTGAAACAAACATGAATTATTAAGGAAAAAAATATACCAATTGGGCCAATTCCCATAGCAATTGTTACTAAAGAAGTTCACAGAGAAGAAACATGAGTTTTGCAAGAACAAAGACTGCTAGAGTTTGTCCTGAACTGTAAGAAAATTGATATGAAAGCAGGCAGAGTAGCTCAGTGGAACTATTGCGACTGTGCTGATTTATAACAGTTGCCAATCTAGACAGAAATGCACTAAAAAAACCAATTACAGACACTCAGGAAGAAATTAACTTAAAAAAAATCCTGCGGGCTGGTAGAGTAGACAGAAATACAAAATTAAGTCACAAACCAGACTAATGAGGTAATTCTTCAAAGTCTACAATTTATAGGATAGTGATGCTAAATTAATTTTAGGATATAGATAAAATTAGGATAAGAGAAGCTAAACCTGAAACTCACCTCTGTGAGTTTAACACAAAATAGACAATCACACACAAAGCAGGTGGCAGTAAACCCTCTTTACCTTCACACAGTATTTATCATGCTTCTGCTGCTCACCTTTTCCACCTATCAGCTCCCTCTGTGGCTTAACCAGATGACCTCAGTCATAATACTCTGTTCCTCATTTGCTGCATCTCTCCATGCACAAATTGTGACTTTATCTGCCAGATATGATTCCTCTTCTTCCTTGGTTTGGTCACCTCTTCTAGCACCGCTGCGTGTGCACGTACACACGTTTTTTACCCTCGTCATCACAGTCCATGGTGTGCAAGACTTATTTCCATGATGTGCATTCTTCCCTCTAGCTCTTACTTCAGACTTTAAAAGGTCCAGTATGGAGATATCTGGTCCTGTTGCTTCTCAGTGGGGCCAGATATGAGTTTTCCTTTAGGGGTAAACAGTATAGTCTGTGTGGAGTCAATGCCTACTATTCTGCCAAGTTCCCTCCATGCCTGTGCCTGCTATCAGTTAACACCCTGCGCTGCTCTACGGCATAGATAACATAACAAATTCCAAAGACCAAGGGATGCTGATGAATAATGTTGCTAACATCTTTATTTAGGCTTGTGTCTTCCAGAAGAACTAGTAATTTTGGGTGTTTAACATGACAGGTAACTTTTCAAGCATGAAATTATATTAAAAAAAACCTGGGCCCAATTACAGTTCTGCCCCAAATTATCAAAACACTCAAGCTCCTAAGATTATTTGATATGAAATATTTAATTACCCTAGCTTCTAAGCAAATTTTTAGGAGCATTTGTGCCTATTCACTTTTTTGAGAGGGTAGCATCAATCCCTATCAGCTTGGACTGAAATAGCTAAATAATGTGTGCGATACAGATTTTAAAGCTGTTCCTGTGCACTTGATCTCATATGTCAGCTCTAAGGACCTACAGCTCCAGTCTACTGCACTCCTGTTATTTAATTTCTGCTTCCCCCTATCATTAAGGAACAGCTTCAGCTAACAATCGGTACATCAAGTAAAACTGTGTGTAAAATCAGTCTCGAGGTTGCACGAGGAAGAAAGCGTGCAGCTTAACATTATCTGTAGCAGAAAAACAGATGGCAAGTGAAACTGCCAGAACCATTGGTAACAACGATGAAAAAGACTTGCCAGTCAAATTTCAAAGAAGAGCTTCAAAGCTCATATGCTGTTTGTTAGGAACCTCTGCCACGGGTCTGGACTGTTCATCAGGATTATAGAGACACAATGCCTAAAAAAGGCTGAATTTATCATCTTCCCAAGTTCCTTCAAGGAGTTCAGGATGGAGATTCCTCTACAGCTTGAAATAAAACAATCAGCAGCACTAGTAAAATACAACGTCAATGACAACACCAATATTTTTCCAAATTAAGCAAATCAAAACCCATACCAAACCATCAAGGGAACTCTTTGCCTGGGAAAGTGTTATCACCTTTGTCCAGACGCAAACAGGAACACAAACACCACCTTTCATGTTGATGTCACTGCAGTTCAGATGAGAATGACATTACTGAAGGTCACATTTGTTCCATTAAATGTGTAGCATAGGTGACCACATCATTTTTAATGTTTTTTCCCTCCCAATATATCATCCAACCAAAGTTAGGATATTGCAAAAGTAAACAAGCACCTCCAGTAATAAAGAGCCATCTAAGGTACACCTTATATCATTATTTACCTCCTTTAAAACAAAGAAATGCAACTTCATGTTCTCATGGTCAATAATTCCATATCCTAATTCAGTTACTGAAGAGGAAAAACACCCAATAGGCCAATTCTTGTCTAAGTATGAAAGACACATTTTTTTCTCTTGAAGCTGCCACCCCTATTCTTAAACCATATAAAAGGGCATTTCCAGAGAGAAAGCTTTTTATTAAAAGATCTGAAAAGCTAAACAAAAGCTTCTCAGAGATGAAGTCAGTTTTTAACTGGGGAGCATGAGCTCTTTTGCAGGGAAACCACTTGAAAAAGGGAAAATTGCAACTCATGCGATAAACAAGGTGCAAAAAGAATGGCAAGGTGAGGATGCCTGCTTGCCCCCTGAGAATTCTCTTAAGAAAAAAGCAAATGCCCACCTGTATCTTTTTAAAGCACCTCACTCCGGGTAAGACTTTTATTTCTATGTCTCCAGAGTCTCGTGCCCTCCAATCCCATATTATGGAAAGCAAGCCTTCGTGGCCAGCTGGAGCAGAGCACACCACGCTGCCGTTCCCAGGTACCAACGGTGGTGCCCGTTTGGGCTGTCAGCCCTCCTGCCTGCCTTGGCAGAGCTTTGTGACTGTCAGACCTGCACAGCCCAGGACTGGTGCTGTCAGGCCACCTCGCCAGCCCACCCACACCTTCCCTGGGAACGAACAGCTAACAGTGTCCACCTTCCCTCCCAAAGCACCCTGCGCTCTCCTTTTGTCAAACAACTTGTGTCACTTTATAAACAAAGGGGAGACCGCGTCCCATCGTCGTAAATCAGTACATTTGCATGACCCCAGGTGCCAGTTCTGACTCGAGGAACAGGTACAAAATAATTGGTATAAAAGAGTGGCAAGATGTGACAAGATGTGAAGTAGAACTTATTTGCTGCCAGGGCTTCAAAATGTTGACTCCTCCTCCTTTGCTCTGGGAACGAATCCTGCTAAGCTGTGTGTGTGACGGTGTGAAATGACCTGCTTCTGCAATAAAATAGTAATCAAACTAATTAAAAAGTCTCCCTGAAGACCTGACCCTGTTTAAATTACAGAGTATTTGCCAAAACTTCAGGCCTAATCATTTTACCAGGAAAATGTCACAAAATGGGTTTCTAATATTTCAATGATTTTGGTGAAAATCGCACCCTGTTCTTCCCCTTCACCCTCTTTTTCCACCTCATAACACCTTTGGTGGAAGAGGAAAGACTGTTTAGATCCCCTACACATGGAAAACAGACCGAGTGGTCTGCTCATTTCACCACAGTGAAATGTCACCTTCAGGAGTGTGCATTCAGTTGTCTCGGAGAAGTGTCTTTGAATGCCAACTTATTGCCATCAGAAATAAATTATTTCATCTCAAAAAGCAACTTCAAAAGGAAGCATTGTAATTGCAATTTAACAGCTCACCTAAGCATTATAATTTACTATCTCTCTGACTAGTAATACTTTTTTTTTTTCCATTATGAATACTGAAGGAGCCTTACAGTCATGTATATTCTCATGATTACTGGTGACTAATTCCTTCTGGAGTGATTCCATATTCTAAAATTAATAAACCAGGCTACTGAAGTGTCAGCTCTTAAAATGTTGATACTTGCAAAAGGGGATCACCCTGGAAGTCACTTCCACTAATCACAGAGGTCAGAAGGTATCTCAGGAGATCATCTAGTCAACTTCCCAGCTCAGAGCAGGGTCACCCAGAGCAGGTTGCTCAAGGCCGTGCCTAGTTGGGTTTTGACCATCCCCACAGATGGAGACTCCACAATCTCGCTGGATAACCTGGTCCAGTGTTTGACTACTCACACAGTGAAAAAGCTT